TATTTAATATTTGTATATAATTTAAAAACTATCTAAATTATAATCATAAATATAAAGCGATGTACAACTAACTTTATACGTGTGCCGCATACGGTGTGCAGGTTAAATAAAAGTTAAGATATTCATGGACCACAAATTGTAGTAATCATCACTAACCATTAACCAAGAGTAATTTGCGGTGTGCTAAAATTTGAAACTTAGTTGCCAACTGGATGAATATGAAAATACAATAAACAATTTAAGCCAACAATAATTGCGTAATTTACATGAAATAATTTATATTTTATACTTACAAAAAAATACAAAATACTTGTACAATTTAATTATAGGTTCTAATTAGATACTATAACTACAAGACTTAACCTTTTCATAATTATTAATAATAAATGAAAAAAAAAATAGATAAATATTAACTAATATCATATAATATACCGTGTATTTTAAACTCAATTATTATAACTCAAATGTATTATAATGTTATTATATTATAAGTATTTATAATTATTGCCTAGTTGATTATGAATATTAGAATTTTTATTGTGTTCAATATAAAAAAGGTGGGCAAGTGGGTGTCGCTCTGCTGTACAGTAGGTTACAAGTGGGTCACTGTATAATGGATGATATTAAATTTGAATTCAACGGTATAATATCATTGTATAAGAAAAACGATTCTGAGCGGAGACGGTATGTCAGTCTATGTATAAGACATATTATATACATATCTATGGTATTAAACAAAAAATTGACCTATAATAGGTACCTATAATAAATTAAAAATTAATCATATCACAATATCCATTAGGACATTAGGTACTGATAACGCGTTATACATCAACAAAAAATGATGGATTTTGATAAAAAGAAGGTGCTCTGCTGTACAGTAGGTTACAACTGGGTCACTGTATAATGGATGGTAGGTACTCAATTTCAATTCAATGATATAATATCATTGTATAAGAAAAAGGATTCTGAGAGGTTTGTCTGAGACGGTTGTCAGTCTACGTATAAGACATATTATATACTTATCTATGGTATTAAAAAATATTGACCTATAATAAATTCCAAATTAATCTTATCACAATATCCATTAGGTACTTATAACGCGTTATACATCAACGACAAACCCTGATACTATCATATATATATAATAGTACACTTTAGAAGTTTCAAGTACCCACAAATAATATTATTCAATCACAACAAAATAACTAAAATAGTTATTCTAGGTTTTTTAATATGTAATTTCGTCCAAATTTGAATTTAAAATGTCTGTAAAAAATAACTGTGTTCATATATTTTTTAGATTTTTTGGTTACAGTATGAACTATTTATGAGAACCTTTGTGTTGAATTTGCAATCCTTAGCTATAAAAACTGAACATTTTATAATTTATTAATTACAATGATTGATAATTTTCGAGATTTTGATAAATTTTGTCAAAATTTGATCTTTAAATGCTTATAAAAAAAAACTGTGCCTATGTATTTTTAATATTTTTCAACTGATATTGTAACAATATATCAGGAGCCTTGTATTACATTTTTAAACTTTTTGGCCCAACAGATAAAACTTTATTGATATTTATAGAAAAAAAAACTAAAAAAAATTGAAAGCTGTAAATGTCTATAAACAGCTCAAAAAGAGTCAAAATATTTTCAAAATTGTATGGTGTATAGGAAATGCTAATATAAACATTCAGTGAAATTTTCATGTATCTACAATTATTCGTTTTTGAATCACAACAAAATAAGGAAATCGCTACATGGGAAATCGGGTGAATATCCAATGTTGTAAAAATTTGAATTTCAAACGCTCATAAAAATTTAATTTGACTTTCTTATAGACATTTTTCTTTTGATAAAGGTACATAATCTTATAAGGAGTCTTGTGTTTCATTTTCAAATCTTAGATTTAACTAATTAAACAGATTAAAACTAATTTTTTTTTTTTTACTAATTCTTAACTCAAAATAATTTGCTAATTTTCGTGATTTTTCCATATTTTGTTAATTTTTGAACTTTAAATGCTTATAAAAAAAAATTGTGACTAAGGATTTTTAATATTTTTCATCTGCCTTTGAAACAATATATTAGGAGCCTTCTATTAAATTTTCAAGCTTTCGCAACCAACAAATAAAATTTTATTGATATTTTTAGAAAAAAAAACTAAAAAAAAATGGAAAATGAAAATGTCCCTAAACAGTTTCATATAAATCAAAATATTTTGAAAATGTTATCGTGTATAGAAAATGCAAATATAAACAACCAGTGAAAATTTCATGTATAAACTTTTATTTGTTTTAGAGTTACACCAAAAACCAAAATCGATTTTTTGGAAAACCAATTTTGCGTAAAAATTCCCGTTTTTCCTTAATTTGTATGTTGTTTTTCCCGGCGCTTGTGAAAACTACTGGGAAAGAATAATTTGAATTTCAACTACTTGCTTTATTAGTTGCCTTATGTACACAAAATTAAGTAGGTAATAAGATAAGTAAATAGGATAATTTTACCATGTATTTGGTGTAAATTAATACTAGATTTTAGTTCATCCCTTCAAAATTTAAAATATTTTTGATATTTAAAAAATATACATTTATAAATATAACAATTATTGTTCATGACATTTAGTAAACTTAGAAATAATATAAATATATTGAGAGTCGGAGTAAGATTTTTTTTTCGGTACAATAACATACCTACATAATTCAATGAGCAAGCTGTAATTTTTTATCATTACATGACTAACAATAACTCAAAGTTTAAAATTGAAAATTTAATTATTTACCTACTAATTTTAAAACTGGTTTCGTAATTATATAAATGCGTTTTAAATTTAATTAGTTGGTATACTAGATACCTACCTATCAATCTTACAATCTGCATATTTGAAATAAAAATGTATATTCAATATTTATCAATGAAATATCTTACTACCTAATTATATTAATTTATATAGTGGTTTTTCCTATTATATTAACACAAAGGCGTTCAGTATTTTATTTTATTTTTGTTATTTAAATGTTGTGAAATGTTGTATTTAAATATTTTAATCGTACCTATATTAAAAAAATTCAAGTTAGTTTGAACAATAAATTATTGATTGATATCCCCCCTACCACTCTAATCTGGGCTTTGTCTTGTACATTGTTCATGAACGATATAAAATATAAAATATAAATTATAATGTATAAAATAAATGAAAAATTGTACGTTCACCCAAATTCTGAATAGAATTAGGTCAATATTATAGGTCATCGATTAAAAATTTGAATACCTAAGTCATAAGGATATACTTCTAAACACTTATTAAATATTATATTGATAGTTCATACTGATCAGTAATATAAACAAATTATATATAGACATTGGACACAAATAATAATTAAGCTGTACCTATGCAAATTTAAAGTGAAAATGAAAACAGTTATAAATTAAAAGTTTTTATATTCTGTAAAAATATCAAATATGATTATATTTCAATATATTAATAGTTTATACCTATTAGAATATTTGTTAATATTTCTACTTAAATTCTCTTTTTTTAGTACTATAAGAAGTGCGATGAATAGATACTAGTCACCATTGACATCAAGTCTCATAATATTTTATAATTTTAACCTGGTACCTAATTCTAAATATACGAGTAGTAACCCACCTTACTAGTAACTAATATACGAGATTATAACTAAAATAAATATTATATACCTGCTACCTATAATTGGTAGGTAGCTTAAGTTATATATACTGCTAGTAAATGTCTGATGTGTCTTTGACATCGGTTGAATAAAAAATGGTCAAAGAGTCCGTAGACTCTATATAAAAATATAATAAACACAACAATAACTTTACACTAAAATATATGTTGTTAAAAACCATCACAAGTTATTAAGTTAAAATATGTTAGGCTGAACATTATCAATAACAATACCAATAATTGTTGCATATTATAATACTATAATAGCATCAAGTCTGCCACATTTCGCAATATTAATTTAAAAGTTGAAATTTAGTCTTAGACATTACTAAAATTATTACCAAACATTAAAATTCATTAAAAAAAATGATAATTTTAACTTTTGAGTGTTGAGTAAAACATAATAGAATTATTAGGAAAAATTATTTATTCCTTTTATATTAGGTAAGTAGGTTATACGGCCTATTAGGTATGACATACCTACCTACTACAGTAATTTCAAAAAAAAATAATGTGTTCCTTGAGGGTAACACTTAAAATAATACTCTCCTTCTGATGAAAATATAAAAATATGTTTTGATTCAATGAATTTCACGTCTGTTGTTCGAATGCGGAATAAATAAGTTTCATTGTATTGTAATAGATGGGTAGGTACGTTGATTCCCAATTACCTATATAATTATATGTAAATCCTAATCTAGACCAGCTATATTATCTTGTCTCGTATCTCGAATTAAAACAATAATTATATAATAACTACAAGGATGATTTATTTTAATTTTAATTATATGAAATATAGTAATAATGTGCGTTACTTATTAAAAATTGTTTTAGTTTGTTTGTGTTTCGACGACCTTAACAAGTTTCGTTTTAAAATAACGGTCATTTCACAAAATAGTTGTCGTCAAGTGTCCATAAAAATTGTTGTGCATATGTCAACAGCAATAATAATAATAACAGAACAACAATAATAATATTATAATAACATTAACTATATTAATACAGGGCTTATTATTGTTATTATTATTATAACATATTATGATTTGATTATATAAAGTTAAGTTAACCGGTTTGTTTTTCGTGAGAAGGAAAAAAATTGAAGACTGGTTTGGGTATTTCCTTGGATAACATTCGTGTAAGTTGAAGGTCAATACACTGAAAGCGATTAAAATTTTGTTTACAACAAATATTGGCGAAATAAGAAACGTGCGCGGACCCTATATAAACGGCAACCAGCAGATGCAGAGGTATCAGTGTTCAGCGAACATTACATTTTCAAAGACGAATATTCAGCAATCTCAAGAAACATGAAATCTTACACAGCGGTATGTATTGCTTATTCGATATTATTGTTGGCCCATTAAATTTTCAACAAAACATTTAAATTTTTTTACTTAATACATATTTTTCTAAAGTAATATACAAATAACGTAGAATTGTTTATAATTTTGAGATATTCTAAAAACAATTAGCGTTTTCTTATCAAATGCAAATAGCCTAATTTAACCTGCACCAATATTATAATAATTGTTGAAAAATTATTTATATCTGTCTTAAAAACTGTTTTTCAAAAATAAAATAAAAAAAATAAAATACTAAATCTTTACTCTGTTCAATAACTAAAATAATAAACATTTTCCCTTAAAATTTTATATTTTATTAAATCTAATTTCATATTTACCACCCCTATTTTATCTACTTTATTTCATGTACCTGATATACCTAGTGTTATATTCACGTGGTTTTGTATATTTTTTAATGTATATAAATATTAAATATAATATATTACAATTTAATTACTAAAATAACTCTTTACCTATTTTAGTGTTTTATTAGTTTATTATTCATTTTACTTTTAACTGCTCAAATATTTGCCTTAAAATTGTATCCATTTATTCCATTTGATGAATATACAAAAAGTTTAAAATATCAATACTTACTTCTTAGAATTATATCACACGATATTTTACCCATTATTAAAAAATGAACTTAATATTGAAAGAAATATTATTGTTGTATAGATATTAGCTTTGTGCCTTGTCGTCCTCGTGATGACTCAACAAGCAACTTCCGAACCAGCTCCTGCACCAGCTAAGAGTGGTCACCACAATAATGGTGGATACGGCGGTGGATACGGCGGTGGACACGGTGGACATGGAAATGGTGGATATGGAAATGGTGGATATGGAAATGGAGGATATGGTGGTGGTCATGGAAATGGTGGTCATGGTGGACATGGAGGTGGTGGACACGGAGGACATGGATCACATGGATCACATGGACATGGACATCATTAAAACAATTTCTATTCTAATCAATACAGCACAACAATGTTAAAAAGCTATTTATTTTTTTTTTAAATCAATTTTTATATCATGTTTAATGATAATTTAATAAACGATAATTTATCAGGTGATTTTCACCTGTTTCAAACAATTAAGAGTTAATTCATTCTTTTTTACACCTAATCTACATTGTGATATGATTTCACTTGCTAAAAAACAAATATTATACTATTGACTTAACCATAGGAAGTATTTGGTTAACATTTTATCATCGTCCACAAAATATAAATTATAGGTGTAGGAAAAAATCTTACTACTTTTATTATATATTAAACTCTTTGAATACTTCTTATACCTACAAAACCATTTTCACACACTTGGACAACTTCATATAAACAAGCTCACACATAATATTCAAAATCAGAATAGGTACACCTACACCGGGCTACACACTACACACTGTATATTTGTATTTTTGATTATAAATTATCAGAATAATCATCAGTTATGGTTTACCGAATTGAAAATAAGTTTGAAAAATATAAATTCAAATAAATTGCTATTATCGTATATAATCACATTTTTCATAAAAAATATATACTATTTAAATCACAATATCAATCTTTTACGATGTAGTTTTAACTCGAAACTAAAATCACGTTTATATATTATGTATAAAATAGATTCCTGGGTAACATAATATAATATATATATTATATATATAATAAAACATTAACATTAAAATGTTCTTATATTATTTTAAGTCTTATCGAATTATAATATGGTATCTAGTGCTGGGACCGTAAAATAAATGAAAAGTCATATTGCTATTTAATGTACATTTTTGGCTATTATTTACTATTTATATCTATTAAGATTTAAGTTATATTTAACGGTGAATAGCTCAGCTAAAATCACAAATTTGAAATTATAATTACGTTTATTTTTTATTTGCCTCAGACATCACTGAAGTTAGCAAAGCAATAAGCAATTCAAATATTGAAGTATATGAAAATATGAGTACATACAAATAAGTCACTCTAATCAGTGTTTATATTTCATCGACTTCTTTGTCAAGTACCTATAATATAATATAAATATTTAAAAGTATCACGAAAAGAAACAAGTTTGGAAAAATGAGTTAAGTTGTCCATACACAATATGTAGTAGTCTATATTTATATCACGAGTCACTACTAACAATGTTATAGTATCGAATCTGCTTAGAGGTTTGTAGTAAACAAAGAATAACATAATAGGATCATACGCATACCCGTTGACATTCGTAAAGCGCCTTGTAGCCAAGGAATGTTTAGTACCTACCAAATATATCTGTTGACTGTTATGGCAAAAAGGTTTTCGTCAAGGTATAAGGGATCTCTGCTGACACTGCAGCTGACTGTTGAGGTGGGCTTTAAATTAGGTACTTAATTTCTAAATTATCACTACACAAGACTGACTCAGTGTCTGGTTTTTCACGCAAAAGTACGATTTTTGAATTCTTGTGGTCAAAATCAGAATTGCATGCCAAAAAATAAAAATAAATAAAATTAGTGTCCAACTTTCATGGCATTTCACGGACTTTACAGTAAGGTCGCAAGTTCAGTGTCGATGTGACCGTAAGTATCTCCATATAAAACAATATATAATGAGGGTTTATCAACAGTTATCACTTAACCACTTGGTATATTTTAAATCAATTTTAATATATTCAAAAATTAAATAAGACTAAAAGTAGCCGATTAAAAAAATTCAAAAATAACATTTAGTCAACTGTTGACGGCTGAAGGGAGGGGGAGGTCAATACTTGTAACACCTGTGATTGACCCCATAGTCATTAATGAGTGATTTCGTTAGATAGATTACGGGGTCATTGATACTTGCAGTATTATAGACATTCGAGTCAAATTCGTTCCGGCGTTCGGACTTAAAGTACCTAATTAAAAGTGGACTTGATCCACTTTTCGATATTTTTTCACTTGTTATAATATACCTATGCCAATATAAATAGTATGTTTTTAAACATATACGAACAGTTTCTTCAACTTGTTGTGATTATAATAAAAATTATTTATTGGTATGCACAGCGCACCTACTTAAATAATATAATAGTATATAGGGAGAAATATACTTATAATTTCATACTATAATATTATACTTACTTAACTATTAATGAAAAATTAAAAATGGAAAATAGTAGGTTTATGAATACTGGAACACTTCTATTGATTACAGGGTAATGGAGTAACATGTCACGAATCAAAAAAGAAGTTTACCTATAGTTCTTAATAACCTATACATAGCTTATTATAAATAATTAGTCGAGGTTGCTTCAAAGTTCAAATTTATAATTCAATGGCTGAAGTTATAATAAACTTAATTGCATTATTAATTGAATTTTTAATGTACAAAATCCTGTTAATAAAATTGCCTAACCTAACTTCCTCGATATTTTATTTTATTTTAATTATAATATTGAACAAACTACTAGGTACTTACTAATCTCACTATATATGGTGCTGAATTCATATATGGTCGCAGGTCAATAACAATACCTCTTTCATCTTCATCAACTTTCAATCTCTGAAATATATTTATATATATATATATTATACATTATTTAATTTTATAAAATATATTGAAACTAATTGAGGGATAAGACCTAAAAACACATATCATATAATACTTATAGACGAGTGTATCTGAGTTATTTAATAATATTGCTCATTTAAATGATCAAATACATGAAAGAAATTATGAAGCAATAACTATCAAAAATATTACTACAAAAACTATCAACAAAATTATAAACCTTCATGTTGGAAAGCATAACTAAAATTTTTATAAACGAACCTGGAACTGTTGAGTGTCGTGACAAGTATACGTTGACTTTCTAAGGAGCTCCAGTTTTGTACAATAATTTTCATCGTGCAAAGGAGTGAGGTATAAATTGTGCTCAAGGATGACGTTTAACTGAGACCGAAGAATAAATCCTTTAAGCAAGCCATAACATTTATGCTCTATATTCCTTGTCTGTGAACAATGTTTTAGAAGACATTAAGACATTATTAACAAGTTGTGGAACTTGGTAAATCCCTTATTCATATATTTACCCGACAGAAGCAAACTTTTGATGCTACCACAGGAAACCCGTTGTGTTTAGTTGTGTTCAATATATCCACTAATTTTCCAACCATTAGTATGTGAGGTATTGCACAGACTGTATCACTCATAAAGTCTTCTGTCGTTATATCGCTAGTTAAAGGCGGTGGTTCGCTTACTAATAAAGGAACACCCGACAGCTTAATCTGCATTTCATAAATACCCTTTTGAACACATAAATCAAAATTAATCACAATTATAATCACTTTTGCCATACAATACTTATCACATTTACATAAATAATTTTAAATTTAAAGTCGCGTAGGCCATATAATTATTATCCAGTTGAAAATTAATGCAATATAATAAATGTATAATATATATATTTATGTTTAAATATATTTAAATATATTTGTTATGTATATTATTATCATTCATTAAATCATACATGACGTAGGTATAGGTTTGCAGTTTATTTATTTTGTTTAAACTTAATTTTGTTTATCTAATAAGAACTGCAACTTATGAAACCCTTTGAATTATATTTTTAATCTTTTTAACTTAGAAAAAACTGTCCATAGTATGTATGTAACTTGAAAGTTCCAAGATATTCTGAGAATTGTACCATGATTAGCAACTGATAAAGTAAATAAAATAAAATATTAATATATATTATATATATATAAATATAAATATTTATTAATTGAACATTTCAAATACATCTATGGTTATTTATTTTTAATTACAATAAATAAACAATATACATTTTGTCGAAATCTGTAGGTATTGCGTAAATCTCGGTTTTCTATAATGTTATTTTTTGTTTATATTAATTACTTAGAAAATTACTGAGAAGTACCATACATATTTTTTTCCATAAACCCTCTCTTAATGTTGAAAATTCGACCAAATACATATACAAAAATCATAGTAAAACCATGAATTTTATTGTATTTAACAAATGTATCTTTTAATCAGTTAATTAGTTATTGTTTTTAATAACTACGGGTGTTAGAGCCGTAATCCATTAAGAAAATAAGTTGATACAAATAAATAATTCCCGAAATTCCCGACTAAATAATATATTGATATACATATATGTGATGAATGATGATTAAATAGAAAATAATTTAAAATATGATATCCAAGTGTCATATAATACTATTATAACGTAGTTATATGCATTTTACTATAGCTTATGCAACTTACGTCTGTAAAAAAATCACCGGTCCATTTAGCTGTGAATAATGTTATCATCAGTGGCAACAAGAACTGAACATTTCCTGTGGCTTCAATAAAAACAACAGTCAGACTTATAGTAGCTCTGACGATTCCTCCTAATTGTGCTGCAGCACCGAGTAATGCGTATTTCCCTGGGTCAACTCCAATCTAAAAAAAAAAAAAAAAATGAATACCATTTCTCGGTTTATCAATAAAATAAAACTCGAATGGTACGTTTTAGATTTCTAATTATAGGTTTCATTATTGTTCGTAGTTACTTATATAGTTTCGATTGTTTGTATTTAGATATTTAAATAAGATTGTTGATTTTAAGTAATTACTTACTGTATAAACAATTAAACTGTTCAAAATATACTACCAAAATATTAAGGTTGCCAAATTTTTGTTTTTAATTGTACTTGGAATTATAGTTTATTTCTTTGTATTAAAATAGGTTTAGAAACAGGGAATTTATCACCATCGCAGAGTGAGCTTTTCTAACTTCTTTATTAAATACAAATATATTATTTTTAAGAAAACGTAAGTAATAACGATTGTTAGTTACCTACTATATATATTTAACGAAACACTTTCGATATATACTTTATATAAAATGTGAGTTTTCTCATCTCATATTGCATTACTATTGCATTGTACATTTTCTGAAATAATCTCTTCCTGGAGATAATTCTCTCCCCCCCAATGTAAGGTGGGTTCAAAATTCACTGTGCCGTGTTGTATTACTTATAGTTATTACTTATTATATAATATGATACAATTCGTTGGTAACAGAATGTTGGAAACACGTTACACTGACAATACAAGTTGTATATTATATTCAACTTTGTTTGACACGCGTGTTGTAAACCCTTACTTATAACTTCAATTTGTTTCCAGTTAAACAAAACTTTTATGAATACAATTAAACCACTTTTTGACATATTATAATGAAAGTAAATACCTAATCGTCAACAACGTATATTTAGAATGAACAAATATTTGTAGAAATTAAACTTCAAACCAGTACGATGAGTATATCAAGTACCGGTGACTTAAAATGTTTTAAACTTAATTTAAATTATAGCTATGATATTATTAGGTATTAGGTATATGACTAGGGCGTGGATTTTAATGTCCTACAAAAAACAAGAAAAATGCCTTTAAAAATACTTCTTACTTAAATAATATTGCAAAAATTAAAACAAAAATTGATATTAATTACTAAACAAAAATTACCTACCTATTTGTACTATTTAAATGTACATAGTTGTGTTGTAAATCATAAATAAAAATACCTATCTTTATGATATACTCGTATACAGTATATCTTCCTGAAGGATATGTCGTTTGTCGTTTTCTAACACTTTTGTCCGGTATATTTGTAGAAACATACGCAATGAAAATAATATGAACACCCAAAAAAAAAAAAATAATAGTAAATTTTTTTTTTTTTTTTGGCGGATTGCTTATGATAAATTCTCATAAAATGTTATCCATTTCTTTATAATATTTACTACAAAAGCAGGTACTCAAAGTTAAAAAAAATTCCCTAAAAATTGCAAAAATATAATATTAGAAAATTTGTATTTTTAAGTTCTGAATGTATTTGACATATGAAATGAATTTGGTGATTGGAAACCCATATTTTGAGATATTCAGAAACAAATACAATTCAAATTTAAATCCATTCCCTAATTATGACTTATTCAAATAATAACTACAATTAATTTGCGAATAAAAATTTTTTTTTATAAAAAAGGAGGGAATAATAATATAATTACATAATTATTATCTTAAAATATCCTTAAAAGTTTTTAAAATATGAAAAACAATTGTGTTCTACACGAGTTTAATTAGTTCGTATTTAGTATTAAAATATTTTACACATAATACTATACTGTTATGTAACAATGGTTTATTTTAAATAAGCTGGAAAAATTTAAAAAATGTTCATAATATTTAATGCATTCATATTTTAACTTATACATTTTTTATTTGCTAATTGTAATATAACATTATTTAATATTAATGCTATATTGTAATCGTATAACCACTTACAGTACCAGGAGAATAATAATGAATAACTATGCTTGCGATGCGTCCCCAAGCAGCTCCAATCAATAACGAAGGCAAAAACAATCCAGCTGACATGTTAAGACCGACAGTTAACTCAGTTAATATGAAATAAATTACACAATAAACTAATAATGGGACGACTGAATATGCTTCTGTTAATAACAGAAAAAGATTAAAAAACTATTAACAAAATCTAAAAAATAATATTAATTAGTCGTAATGTTTTATTTTATTATTATATAACATATAGGTACCTATTGAAAAATAAATAAATGAATATAATAACTTGAATAAATAAAAAAAGAAACTTTCTTAAAAATTGAATATTCTACAATATTTTTTTTAATGACATTACCGTTTATAAATTGAATAATCATATTAGATATTTATCGTTTTAATATATACATATTATAAATAAATATAGCTCTTAGCTCGTAATAATTTAAAATATAATATTATGTGTATTAAATTGCTAATGCTATAAATATTTTACCTTTATCATTTAAGATTCTTTTTATTTTATATCTAATTTTTAAAGATGTTCATTCCCAACTCAAATCAATTTCTTTTATATAATTTGAACAATGAACGACTTCACATTTGAAAATATTTATGCAAATATAAAGTCCTTAATATTTGTACAAGGTAAAAAATAAAAATTAAGTCGAGTGACTGCATTTTGTCTTTGGTATATTATTCTTTTTTTAAAAAAAAAATAAAATGCTTATTATTGACTTTTAAAAATCGAATAGGTACCAATATTTTATTTATAGGAATAAAATACACGTGTTAAATTAACTGCCTATAAACTATTACACACAAACAATTTATAATTACCAATCGGATAATGAAATAATGATCTGATACTTTCTTCTTGAGTACGAAGCCAAAATGAGCTTATTTCATTATAACTCCCTGCTGGACAATACATCTGCAACAAACCTATCATAAAGGTAAAAGCCGTTTTCATAATAACTATAATCTAAAACTATAAAAGTGTTAGTAGTAGACTTAAGTTTTAATTAATATTAACTTATCACTACCTAGTCATCGTTTAAATTCATCATACATTCGTATACATTTATTATAATTAACATTATAACAGACAATTGATAATGCATACAAACTTTTAATACAAGATAATTGAACTTTGATTTCTAATCAAATATTAATATTTCAATTTAGTGTTTAATATGTAAATATATATAAAGTCATTCAAACTCAAACTTTTCGGTACAAACACTGTGGAGATTATAATTTTAAGTTCTTAATTCTTATGCCATATATCTAGTTGTTTGTAATGTAAAATTGTTAAGTATTTGTAAGTTTGTATAAACTAATTTTATATTCATAGAGAAAAGTACCTATAGTATTAACTAACAATGAAAATAATGTTAGATAGTGAGAGAAAATTAATTAAAAAGATAAAGACACGTTTAACTTATTATCCTATTAGATTATTTTTAGCGTATTTCTTACTTGTACTACATTAGACGAGCTTATCTCTAATTTTGTTTGACAGTTGTTTAACAAAATCATGGATGTTAAATTAATTATCGCAACAAACACTGCGACGAATACTGATTCCATAAGTTTTTTTCTGTTGGATATAATGTGTCTAAACAAATAAAACGTAAAGTTTATTCCAATATAGTATTTAATAAATTGTTGAAAATAAATAAATTTATAAAAACCAACTTCATTCTGAAAATGGATAAATGATAATTAATATTGACAAATAAAGCTCCAAGTAAACCGCCGAATATCCCAAATATAATAAAAATGGGGAATTCTGAATAAGAAAAATAAATTGTATTTTCATTAAACTTCCCAAAAAAGTAAATACTTTTGCTGTGAACAGATTCTGATGGATCTATAGAAAAGTGTAAGTATATTAAATCTTTTATTATGAGGCACATTTGTGTAGTACAAGAAAACTCACTTGTATTATTTGAAAACAGTACGTTTTTACCAGCGTTATATGTTGGAAAAGCTATTGCTGCACAAAAAAACACTTTCCACATGAGACTTGAGCTCCAAAAACTTGTTCCTTCTTCGAGACTCATTAATGTCCCTCCTAAAAAAATCAACAACAAATAAATACAAAAGTTTCTATTTTATAAAATTTAGAAATATAATATAAAGTCCAGTAAATGTTATAGTTTTTTCTTTTAACCATTACATATTTTTTTCGCTATTTGCTTTTATTATTTTTTTTTGTTGAAATAGTAAAATAAAAAGTAGTAAATAATTTTCAATATTTAAAAATTACTAAATATTAATATTTCTATCTATTTGTAGATATTTTTAATCTCTAATGAGTAGTTGGACCCTCACTACCTAACACCTAAAAATTATATGCGCGACAGTCGATGAGTAGAAATTTCAAAGATAACTAGATTAGTTAAAAGTCAAGTTTGTTATTCCCAACAATGTTTTTCACCATTTTAAAAATCGACTTCAAAATAGTATAGAAAGTAGGCATAATGTCTGTATATTTATTATTTAAGAATAACGATTTTTATAAAGTTTTTTTTTTATTGTTATTGATGACAACGAATATTTTTAATTTCGTATTTTGAAGCAGCTTTTTTTTCCACGAAATCAAAGCATAATTTTTATTTTTATGCATTTTGAGTTTAGACAAGTGGTAAAGTGTCAGATCTTTAAAGGATAGGTGCCTCTCGAATACGTGCTACACGAAACTTTTTAAGCGCGTTACCGACTTTCGTCAAACATTTTAAGCTTAACTGTACAACTTAGCGAGTATCTGATGACGATGATACATACAACTACTGAATAAGATCGAATAATTAAAATTTATAAAGATTTTCATTAGTTAGGTTTCGAAAGTGTGCTACCTATATACCAATATTGGTCGGTACCTATACTCTATAGAATTAATACAATAGCGTTGTAAATATAGTACACATGCCATAAGTACATATTTTCGATTATAAACTAGGTATATATTATACTTTTTGAAAATTAAAATGATATATTTACCTACAGGCGATCCAAAGGCGGCCGATAATCCCGCAGCAGCGCCTGCTGCCATCATGTCTCTCCTTTCTCGATCATTTTGTAAGGGTCCAATGACTTTCCGACCAGGACCGTTTCTAAAACCTTTCCACCAAGCTTCTACGACTGAACCACCAACCATTGCTCCAATGTGGATCAATGGTCCTTCCTGAAATATTGATGTGTTTTCAATAACGAGTATCCAATAAAATAATATGGTCAATGGTAATGTTTTATTATATAAATATATGTTTCATTTGAAATACAAAAAAGTTATAGGTACGAACATAATATTTTATTGGCTTTATAACATTCTCTGTTTTATTTCTTAAGTTTGTACATACAATTTATTATTATTAGTATTATTATTATTATTATTTATTATTTTTTTTTTAAATTATTACACCAGGTTACTGAAAACCCTAAATAAAATTTGATTTTTCAATAGTAAATAGTTATCGTGGTTTCTAATATAAGGCTATATGATTTTTTTGTCTGTAAACTTTGATGAGCTAGGTATATCAGAAGTATCACTAATGAGTGAAGTGTACAAAGTGATCAATTGATATCTTTCTACTTTGGTTTCAAAATCTTTTATTATTTTTATTATTATTAAAAATCAAAATAAACAAAATAGTGCAATTTATTATTGTTAGCGATATAGTGTTATAACAAAATATACAAAATACCTTTCCTCCACCAAGACCTGCTATGCAAACGCACACCACGCTTATTACTTTTACCAACAAACATCGAACGGCCGTCATTCTCGGTATACGAATTCCGTTTAAATAAGATATTACAAACGGAATACCACTTCCAGCAGCAGAGGGCTAAATAATGTATAACAATTATAGAGTATTAAATATTATAATACGGAATAAAATATACAAAATATTATTGGTAAAATGAAAATATAATTTTTTTTCAACGTCAATTGAGCAGATTAAAGAACGTTATTATTTTTAAAAGGTAATGATTATGGAAAAATAATAATGTAAATATTTTTTTTTACCGAATTCGTACTATTCAAAATATGTGTCTGTGTCCTATAGAGAAGTTCGAAAAATAACTGAATTATATCTGATGTTTATAAAAAAAAAATTTAAAAATATGTATGGGCAATACAAAATTATGGTTAGTCACATACATAATCATTGATATTATAATATTTATGTATTTAGTTTTTGCATTGTTGTACCTATCGGGTAAAAAATTAATTTATGTAAAATGTACTAAATTTATAATACTTACAAATCTCAAAACCTTTTTTTTTAAATAGTTTATTATTAATCAATTTGTTTCAAAGCAAAATAGTTTGAAACATAGTTTCTACACAATGTTGAGTAACTATTTAATGGGTATTTTAGTATTTTACCAAGGTTTATATAGTTGAAATTACTGTAATTCTTGTTTTTGAATATTTATATTAGCTACCACCAAAGACGTCATAACATTATACAAACTATTATATATAATTTTATAATTAACCTCCATGAATAGCACTACACAGCATCCAACCAGCGTAGGGATGACGGTGAAAAGTATCCAAATAATCAGACACTCTACCGTGGAGTGCTTAACATCAATACAATTTCGAATCGATTGAAACTTCCAATTACAGAAATATTCAATTACAGTATCAATAAAAATTCCAACTGCTGCAGTACATATGGCGATCGAAAAATAAATAAGCCATCTAATCACATTACTCGCCACTACTGTCTTATAACCGTTTAACTTTTCTTCTCTAACAGTAAGTTCACTTTCGTAATGATCGTAATCCAAACTCTGAAAACATAATAATTTATCGTATTATTAAATAACTTGATTAGGGTCATAAAAGCACGCTCCAATATACATTTTACGCAATAGTTAAAATCTCACTTCATAATCCGACGATACGTAATTTATTGAGTGCGATCTAGGTTTCGAGTTCACTGCAGACAAAGTGTTACTAATTGTTGACAGGCTGGATCCCTACAAAAAAATAAAATAAAATCTAAAATTCATTTTTTAAAATAATGCAACTGAAATACGAATAACAATTTAAAAAAAAGTGATATAGTATATACTTTGCTTCAAACCAACCCGTACAATCTGTCTAGAAGACTTTTGTCAATGGGTGGTTTCATTTTATTGTATTAATTGTATGTTATCTATATTCATTACTATGTGGGTAGTAGTTAATATTAGTTATTCTAATTACTTATTGTGTTTAAAATACATATTTTAAGATTTTTCTAATAACTCGTGTGTCTCCTGTGATAACTTTTATTAATATAATTAATAAAGGAAAACCAATAATGTCTTTTGGTGTTTTGAGTTCAGCCAAATAAAATGTTAAATATACAAGGTACCTAGATACGTATTATGTTTGTTTAGAGGGACTAGAAATGTCGTAATAAAACAAATTAAATGCTTCGCATCAATGCCAAATGTCGACCTCTCCCTCGGTCGGGCATTCATCCAGTTGGCAAAAAAAAAAAAATATATATATATAATGGTTGTTTTTTTTTATTACTGTTTGGCATTTGGTGTCATTAAAACTCAATATGACTGAACATTTTGGGAACAATTTAAATAAATTTATTATAAGTACAGTTACTATATTTGTTAGTTTATGGTTAATATTATATTTTTAAAAACAGTGTATTAATTAAAAACTTATAATAAAAAATACTCAGCAATTAACATTATAGAATATTTATGTAATATTCCAAAAAATAACAAATAAAAAAAAAATTATGAGTAGAGGTTGATTTTAGCAATGTAATTATTCTATAAAAATGTACATAACAATTTTCGGTTTAAAACATTTTAGGAACAATTTTAAATACACTATGATGATTTATGGTAATTATGATTATAATTTGTAAAGTTGTTCCTAGAAAGGTAGTTTAAACAAAAAATGGTAATAAATACCTCACGATTGTTATTCATACATCCAACTCCGCTCATGAATTTTGACTTGTGAAAATTATAATTTAAAACGTGCGTAGTAAATCCATAGTTATCGATTGCATTATTCTAATAAAAAAATATACATACACATAGATAATGTAATTAGGTATAGTCATTAACACAAGTAGAAATAATGTAATATAAACTTGCCATTTTATTTTTTTAATAATTATTTTAGGTTTACATCAATACTATCAGAAGTTATTGTTAAAACACTAACAAATGATTTTTTAACGATTTGTGTAATTATCGGTAGCGATGTAACACACTGACTGCAGTTGCTCTATTGGCACTAAAATTAAATTTATCTCACTACGACTACCAATACAATTTTTTGTGACTTATAAAACATTTCGTCACAATGGTATTGTAGTTTCTATATAGTTTTATTATAGTCTTAATTCTTAACACGATTCTAATTCGTAGAAACCGTTTAATTAGGTATGCATTGAACAAAATATCTATTTAAATTAATTATTTCCAATACATCACATTATTTTAATATTCCTGTATATAGGACATAAGTATATTGAACTTGCTAAATTTGAAAGTGGCAGTGCTGTCGAAACGGAGCTAGGAAATTGGATACATAAAAATAATTATAGCAATATAATATATTTTTATATAAATACCATATTATAGTACAACAATGAATTATGTAATTTAAATTCAGGTTGAGTGAACTTGGTAAATAATCTCAAAAAACTTCACTCTTAAATACCCGTCTATAATGATAGAAAATGCTTATTTAGACCAGTAGGTATCTAATTTTTAGTATTTCGCAGAAAACGGGATATTCGTTAAAGAATATTATCTTTGGGCAAACAGGTTTCCGGTTAAGACAAATTTGGTTTTCCTTAATTACTATATTATACCAGGAAAGGTCAGTGGCGTGAAACATAGGATCCAAGTGATGCTCAAGCAACACCTTAAAATATGGGTGGGCGGGTATTGATAGAAGAAAAATAGAAAATTGTATAGGTCGGTATTATGAGGGGTAGGTCACCTAAAATTATTTGAGCAACACCAATTTTTTTTATGGTACACCCCACTGGGAAAGGTGGATACACAGTTAAACAGTGCTATGCGGTTAATAAGAGGAGTGGTACAATCAACACCGATACCATGGTTACCGGTAGCCGGTAGGTACTATCAGAAAAAATGAAACATTAGTGAGACTATTACCGATACCTACAAGAACTCAATCCTCTACAAACAGTTGGAAAAAACGCCAAATATCAGACTAAAGTCAAGGAAAATGCCATGGGCCAAGGTTAGAGAACTAACTCAGCCGAAATTCCGTAGTGCGAAAAAATTACGGGAAGAGTGGGTGGGAAATACGGTATTACATAAAAATTTGATAAGGGATCCCACACAAAGAGTAAAAGGGTTCAAACTCTCACGACAAGAGTTTGTAGTTCATAAGCGATTAAAAGCTGGACTCGGAAGATGTGGGCATATGATGTACAAGTGGAAACTAAAGAATAGCCAGAAATGTGGTTGTGGAAATGACAGTCATGAGTTATGAGACATAATATTGTATGTCACAGACGAATGTCCGAATAGTAGGTCCGTGTTGGGCATCAGTGGAATTAATGAAGTTACGCAGGGAGCAATTTAATGGATTAGGGCTTTGGACAAAAAAATCTAAATTTGACTATAATATACTCTATAAATATATAATATTGTATTAATCTTACTTAAAAATGTATTTTTAAAATTTTACTGTGTTGCCATTCGAATAGGTATATAATATATAAATATTATATTATACATATAAAATTATTAAGCAACTTCGGTTGCTCACTCAATTTCAGTATCAGCACTTTTAACACTAACTTTGAACTTTATCGGTGACGACGATAAAATAATAATATAATAATACAACTAGAACCGAAAACTTTAATAGATTTTAATGACATGGACATATTATACCAATGTCAAATCTAACGCCGTTTATAAACGATAGTTAGGTATAATATGGTTAGAGCGATACGTGAGTGCATAAAACGGAACGTTTGAATCGCATCCGCGTTAAACTGTATCGAAGTTTATGGGGATGGAAATAAAATAGAAAAAAAAGATTATACGAAAGAAATAATATTCGACTTGGGTCCTGGTACGAAATGGACCACCACCGTGTTGACTGTGCGCGGTGCGACGTATAATAGTCGCCGTCGGTTATTTATCGCGTGGCAAATCCTCCGGCGGCACCATAGCAGGTATGGGCTGCAGAGTGCAGATATATATATATATATATATATATATATATATATATATAATATTATATATATTGGTAAAGTTGAGAACCGATCGTAATATCGCGAGTCCAACCCCCCCCCCTCACACAAACCCCTAGACTACATACCAGCTCACTGCTCGTATGTTGTAGTAATCCAGAAGTTATAATCCTTTCGAGATTATTTCAAACGGTGCGGGTAGTGTAAGTACGCGCGCGTATTCCGGAACATTATGATAAATTTATGTTTGTGGTACTATAATGTACACGTACAACACTAATATACTATAATATTAATAATATATTATAATATACAGGGTGACTATATATTTCAACGCGCTATTAAACAGTCAATTTTCGTGAAATTATGCTTTTACATAGTTAGAGATGGGTCTATAGTCCATACTGAACAAGTCTAAATTACGCAATCGATTTACGTTTTTGGAAAAAAAAAATTCTAACCTTTCAAATCGAGTGAAAACAATTTATAGAGGAAAATTAATAATTTAGCCGTCCTTACGTATTGTATAGACAACTCAATTATTATTCTTTGACCTATAAATAGCTGACGTTGACCATTGTTGGCATCAATTGTCGATGATTTTATTGTACGTATATATATTAGGTAGTTTGGTAGTTAGAAATTAGAATTGAACCATCATTTGACGACTCAATATTATGAATCGACGCAGCACTGGATATTTATAATAGGTAATATATAAAGGGTACATTCACGTTTTGTGGTTTTCAATAGGAGAAATTCGAAACGCGGCGATTTCCGTTTGGAAAAACATACATGAAATATCTCACTGCAATAAAAAAATTATAATTTAAACAGAAAAATATATAAGTATAGCATTTCAAACAGAAATCCGACCGACGATAAAATGTACGACAGTTTCGCGTTGTTGAGATAATCGTCCTGTATACATATATATATATATATATATATATATATATATAATATATATATATATATATATGAGGTACTCCCCACATAGCATTTATATTATATATATATATATATAACTACACACTCGCATTTCGGTTTGTGGAGGCAATCGAACGGTATGCGGTGATTGGTGGAGTGGGGCACGAGAAATAAATGCTGGTATTACCAGTATTTTTTTCCCCTCGTACTTTTTTCTCCCTCAATCCCTCTCATCCTGTCTCTGTCACTCTTTCTCGTTCTGTCTCACTGCCACAATATATATATACATTTACATCGGTTCCCTTGCATCCGCATCCGCTGCCGATACCGCCGGAAATCTGTAAAGTCTCACGGTTCGCTAGAATCGCTGCGATCGTTTTCTAGTTTGCGCGATATCATCGCGCAAATGTCCACCGAAAAGCAGCGCCACACACACACACACACACACACCCGCCCGTTCGAGCCAACCCCGCCGGCGGCAGCAGGGTCGGAATCGTCGTCGTCGTCGCCGCCGCCGCCGCGGTCGTCCTGCTCCTTCGCGGCTCGTCCGTTTTACCGCCGACACCGCCGCGGGCACACATTGGCGAATTCAGTGTCGTGTCGCGTGCACTGCGAACAGGATATAATTTCGTTCGCCGCGTACAAACGCGCGATCCGCCGACTCCGCCGCCGCCGCGCCGCTGCCGCCGTTACCGAGCGTGTTTACACCACGATAATAATATACGATTTCCGACCTTTTCCGCACACACATATACATTTGACACATAATATTATTATAATTAATATATATAATAAATAATATACCGAGATGTTATTATTGCGTTTCCGTCATTTCGTTCACCCCGTGCACTCGGCGTACAACAACAATAATTATTCTAACAACAATGATAATTATAGTATAATATGTATTAAAATGTAAACGTGCCTATAGTAAAGAATTATTTTAAATACCCTTTTAAAATATATATATATATTTTTTTCTTTTAACTTACCTCCCCCGTTCGATTTTCTCAAGTCATTATCCCGCGCACCACTACCGGTTGCAATATACGCTACGATTTTCGTCGACATCAAAATCTAATCGAGTCGTCCTAACACGGAGCCACTATTTGTAGGTACAAAGTAAAATTTCAAATACCACGTTTCGTGTTATTTACACATAATAATATCTTTATGGTAGAACGATCGTTACAAAGTTTAATGTATTTTATTATATTATAATATCTATAAATAGCTGCATATTACATGTGGGAATATATTATGAGTTTAATAGGTAGTTATTTTTTTTTTTTGAACACCGGCGTATAATCCATGGTTAAATAGAGATTACTTTTGGTTTTTATCTCTTATAAGTAGTCAGTACTTAAATGTTATTCTATAAGTAAATACATAGTTGAATTATCTCAAAATGTTTGATTGCCATTTAGTTATGACCATTTAATATGTTGAAACACTAATACCCCATCACAGAATCGTTTTACGATTTCAGTAATTTATTATTGTTACCCAACAAATTATTTCCATAGCAAATGCCACGACTGTTTGGCGTCAAATCGAGTAAATCGAGAAGAATTCCGTTGCTAATTTTTTTTTACGTGTAGGTATACTGGAAATATCAATAAAAAAAAAGAAATAGTTTATTAACTTATAGTTAATGATACAAGTTTAAGTATAATAAGCCCAGTATAATAACATGTAGATACTAGATACCATTATATACTTATAGTTTATACCCAACTCACAATGATAAATTGATAGATGATACGTATATAATATATGTTGTCTATTTATATAAATATATAATATACAAATCGAATTACCATAATATTATGTGTATACATTTACTATTTAGTATCTACAAATACAGTAGTCCCAATTATTATAAAATTAGTACTGTTTTCAGTTGGGTATACTGATGAATATTTCATACACGAATTGTGGTACATTCATTATACACCCTAAACACAGCTTTCCCGAACAAAATGTTCCATGTTGTTTTTACTCTCGCGACTAGAAGTAATTATGTGTGTTTAAATCAAGAAATCATAAATATTTTAAACTTTATATTGTACCTATTGTAATCTGAAAATGTATATGAATTGAATTTAAAGTCGGATTAGTCATTTAACTAAAATATATATTTATATGTACGTACTTATGTTGATTTAAAATGAAAAAAAACCGTAATCAACAACTTAGATTATTACAATAATTTAAAAGCTGTATAAAATATACACGGCATTCAAATTGAATTGGAGTTTAAAATTTTCGTTACAAGAAATAAATTTTCGTAGGTAAATAATGTTTGTGCAAAGCCACACAAAATCACTTAAAGGCGCACGCACAAAGCTGATATATATTATGTAGGTATACCTGCCTAACTATCAACTGTTACAATGTACAAGCCCCCATGAGAGATTAAATTAAGATAAATACTAAACATACCCGATGTCTATATACGATACATACCCACCACATACGTATACTACATTGTATGAGTATGATAAATATTATTTATAAACAAGTAGAACTAAAACTATTGTACTACAAAATTACAGTACTTAATGATTAATGACAGATGACATGATTCAGAATGTATCAATAAAGTTTTTCGTACATTGGACTGATTATTATTACTATTATTTGATGAAAATTCAAAATATATTTAGTGAGTACCTAACCATCTAGTTTTTAAGTATGGTAGATAGTAGTTAGGTACATAATGCTCAGTTCATTGTAACAGTGGAAAATTATAAACTCACGTAGCAAGTTTAAACTAAGATAATGTAATTTATATAAAGTTTTTAAAGTAGCGTTAAATTATAGAGATTCTATCATACCAATTTTTATAATGTTAAAAATTGATAACAAGATTAACACATATTTACAAAATAAAAGTTAATAATGAGTAATTATTTTAGAGCAGAAAATTAAATTACATCAAGTAGAAATATAAATTTACGTTTCAACAAAATAGTTTCAATAAAATGGATACCCTTTTGATGTTTAGCATCTTCTGTATTATACAAAGAATAATGTTAAAATATACACAACAACTCTAAAAAGTTAATTAATTAAAACTAAAATAGAAAAATGAATAAAGAAACTGAAACATTAAAGAGTACCTACTTGTTATTTTAAGATTTTAAAGGGGTTGTATATAATACACCATTCAAAATACATCGCAGTTAAGAATAATTTTTAATAAATATTTTATAAGATTAACAAATAAAACATAAAAAGATAATATTAGTTTTATTGTAAATTTAATAATGGATAATAATCTTTAATAATACAGTTTGGATTTTAATTACGTTTGATTTGTAACTTAATAAATATTATCTTTTTGCACAAAATG